CTCCCGGCCCCCCCAGAGCACCAGCAGCCATTTCATCTCCACCACCAAGTAGGCGCAAAAAATGGCAGAAATGGAGAAAGAAGGGAGACCTCCCGAAAATAAAAGGAGCAGGAAGCCGGCTCACCCGGTGAAGCGGGAGATCAACGAGGAGATGAAGGTAGGTGCCTGTGATGGGGAAGGGAGCTGGTCTCTCCCCCCCCCACACCAAAAATGAAATAAGAAAGGATCTCTTGTCATTTTTTTTTTTTTTGTAGGATGCACTGAATGTGTCTCAACTCCGCCTCCTGGGCTGAAAACAGAGACGAATTCACAGGCTGCAAATCCTGTTCATTGACCAGCTTTGATTTATTTATTTTTTTAAAATAACTCTCCCTCGTTGGGCTTCTAAGCTCCTTGGGTGCCACTGATAAGCCTTTTTTTCTTTTCTTTTTTTTTTTTTCTTTTCTTTTTTTCTTCCCATAGGAATCCCCTCAGGTAGCTGGGAAGCCCTAAAGTTAGGAAAGAAAGGGACCTCTTTTAAACACTGTATTTCTCTCCTTTTTTTTCAGTAGCTAGCTGCAACTGTGTAATTAAATTGTCAAAGTGAAATGTTACGGTCTGAGCCGCGCATCATTCTCGCACTTAGGCGCGGAGACCCCTTTTCTTTCCTTCTCCCTCTCGCCTTCTCCTGTGCTTTACGGGCTCCGCTTCGCAGTTCATCGCGGAGGTGATGCTGGAAGGTGGCTGTCCGAGGGCTGCTTTTGATGGAAGTGTATTTATCGTGCGGTGTTCCTGATAGGAACCGGTGCCAGTCCAGCTGTGCTCTGGAGGTAGCGCTTGAGGCGGCTGCTCCAGATGTTAGGATGGCTGCGATTGCACAAAAACATTATTTCGGGACTTCCTTTTATCATTAGGTCGCTGCTCGGGGCTTGACTGGTCCTATTTTTTGCGCCTGTTTTTCCACGGCTGTTACATGTCTGTTTGTTTTACGTCTCTGATTCCCCAAAGTTCGGAACAACGTATTGCGAGACTTTAGCTGAACTTGTTGTTGTTGTTGTTTAATGTACAGATAAAGTGACTGAAACAGCATAGTCTGGTTGTGAGATAAAGCTGCTGACATTTAATTTGAATATGTCATTTATTGAAAGGCTGATTGTAAGTGGAGGACTGCCTGGAAAATGTCACACATTCGCATAGTATGCATACTATATAGGCGAGTATATAAATATGCATGATGTCTAGTGAAAATATCTTTGCTTTCCGGAGCATTGATCTCCCCATATAAAATGAAACGGGAATGCACAATCCCCTCCCCTCTCCCTCCTTTTGCACACCACTAATTTCGGTTAGGTGCCCTTTCATGCCCAAGGCAGGCATTCTTGCTCCTGCTGCCTGCCTAATGAGCATGTACACAGTTCTGCATGAACATCAAATGGAAATGTGGACAAGAGTAGTATTAGGGGAATGGACAAATTAACGTGTTGGTGCATCTCTTTGGAAACAAACCGTACTAGTTTCAAGTCCTGAGGAGCAGTGTTATTCTTTGCAAGATGTATGACACATCCTATTTTCGGAGAGGGCTCTGTGCAGGCACCAAAGAGTCATTGCTCATTGTAATCCCACATAGTTTTGAGGGCTGCCGAGGTCTGTAGTATGGGGCATTGGCCCCTTAGAGCATCGCCTAATGCGATCTATATGGATTGCAGCTTTTAAGTTTCATAGGTTCTAGAATTACAAATTAGCTAATTTTAATCAAAACATGTGAAATGTTATCCTGGCTGGATATAAAGGCTGACTGTGCTGGATCCTCTGGGTTTGTTTTGTTTACTTTGGCTGCAGGCACACTCAGCGGTTTGGGAGATAGTTGTTCTTCTACAGTATAACAGATGTTTGTCTGAAAGGGTGAGGAAGAAACAAAAACAACATTGTGTGAAGGAGAAAAATTACACAATTTTAAACTAATGCTTTGGTATTAAGAGCTGGCGTTAGCCTTCCTGTAGGGAGTTTCTCTTTTTTTAATCATGGGTAGCTGCTTAAGGTTAGAAACCTCAAGATTTCAGCTGACTTAAAAAATAAAGGCAAGTAGAAACAGCACGTTGAACCAATGTGATTCCTGGTCAAGAGCGAGATAGCTGGTGGCAGAACCTGTCACAAAACACAGGCCACCTTTCAATGTAAACTATGCTATATATGCTATGCATTTTCAGTAGGACAGTTGGCTGCTATCATCCAACAAGGGGAAAGAGAGGAAGGAGGAAAAAAAAAAGTGGTTTGAATTTTTGACTGGTTGAGAAAGTTAAAATCCTGTGGTGATCATTTACTTTTTCTTTACTGATGAATTAAGATGTCTAGTTGTTCTTCATAAACCCGAGGAATACAATAATGTAACAAATTGGTTACACTGTGCAAGATGTTTGCAGTGAAATGACAGAGGGAGCACAATGTGCCCTTGTGTAGGTTCATATCTGTAATGTTCAAACAGACTGACTGTTTCCCTTCATCTGAACTGCTTTCATCTGGACCAGTGTAAAATAAGCTCTGGTAAGTAATCACGGCAGAGCAGAAAGAAAGGAATGTATACAGCAATAGACAGCCTAAGCTGTAAAAACTGTAACCCGAGTATCAGCAGCAGATCAGATATCAAGGCTTTAAGGTAGGGGAAATGAAAGAGATGAAGGGGAGGAAAAGACAAGAGAGGGAATGGAAAAGTCAGCTTGGAAAGTGAAGGAGAAGTAGGAGGGCCCCCTCAGGGAAATTTGGCTCAGGGATTAGGGAATTTTATCATGGTGTACAGTGACCTACTCAGGTTTCAGCCCACGTTGGATCGAATTGCCTCCCTTTGCTAGCAGAAAGAAAAAGGACTGGTGTATATGTGTTTGCTTTTTTTTTTTTTTCCCCCCTTCAGATAATAAAAAGGCCATTGGTACAAGCATCTATTTTAAGTACAGCAAATGCAGGGCACTATGAATGAGCAATAAAATTACCTCATCACAGAGACTTCTTTCAAGATTTGCTGTTTGATACAGTCAAGTATTTACTCGAGAAGGATCACAACACCTAACCACTGGGTTTGGTGTCTTCCAACAGTAGTGTCACAGCTCGGTTTTATCATGACTGGATGGATATTTAGGTTGCTTGCTCTTTCCTTATGCCGGATATTAGGTTACATTTTTGTTACCACTAACCTAATGTACATGATGGTTATAACAAATTTTAATTTGATACAGTGTTGTGTGCAAAAACTACATGGCTCTGCACAGTTTTCTGATATTACATTTCAGTGAAAAATATACTCAGGAGGAACTGTTTTGTTTCACTGTGACCTTCACAGCCTCTCTTTCTTTTTTCTAGTTGTTTTATTCTTTTGTCCTCCTTCCTCCTTCAGATGATACTTTCCATTTTTTTTTCTTCCAGAGGTAGGATTGTTCATCTCACACTTTGGAAGAAGAGCAGATAGTTATTCTGAAATTCAGTTCAGTGCCATTTCTCACTCGCTGATGAATAACAGAACACGTAATAGATGCAAAGCTATCGCAATCAGGGAACCCAGTGCTATTTTAAGACCAAAATATTTTTTACAGTTTAATTGATGAAAGCACTTGTCAAGGTGCAGTGATGGCTTCCCCATCCATCCCTCCTCAGCTTATTTCCATTTGCTGTCCCGCTGCCAGGCAGCAGTGCTGCTCAGGAGGAGCAGCTAGGTGCTCTGCAATGTTGTGAAATGAAGTTACATCCAGTACTGGATTGCACTGGAAGTTCTCCTGAACAAACAAGACAGCGTATCCACGTGTCTCTGTCAGTTGAAAGGTGAGCAATTAATTTGCACTGTAATTTCACAGGGCTGCTCCATGTGCCCAAGGAGTTTACCATCTATAAATATTCCCAGTAACTAATTTGTGTCTAAAATTGGGCTTCGTTCCTGATGCCTAGAGCTTAAGACAGCCCCATCTGTTATAGTTTAATAGTAAACTCATCAGAAGATCTTTCAGTTTAGTGTTTTAATATTCCCTGTTTGGCATTTAAAAGTACTACTGTCAGAAGGAGGAAAGCGGTGAAGCAGGCATAGCAGCACTGCGCCTGGAGCAAGCCAGAGCGCTCAGAAGATTCCAAGGAAACTCCTCCCTTCTCTCCTGAAAAGCAAATAATGTCTTCAGGAGAGTGGAAAAGCAGACAGAGTTTATCAATTGTACTATTTCAGGAGACAGGGGTGGAGGGTTTTTTTGTGGAGTCTGCGTGGATGGAGTTTTGTGGGATGGCTGCAAAAGGGAGTTGTGTTGTCTGCACCGGGAGCCTCACCTGCCTGTCCGCTGCAGAAACAGTGCTTCCCCAGACAAAGTGGGTATTGCAGAACCAACTGTGTATGTGGGATGGCGAAAGAAATTAAAGCATCAAGAAATTTTGCTTTCTGATAGCATGAAGGTCTAAACACAAAATTCAATATGGCGACAACATGAATAAGCAAAGAAAATGAGGTCTGGTTAAAAAAAAAATATCCAAGTTCGTATTGTGACTAGAGAAACGTTTCTATTTCCTTGGTGCAATGAAAGTGAAAAGTGAATTTGTGGGGCTCTGCACCGAGTGGGTTATGCAGGCAAGGAAATGGAATGGAGTCACTGTGCTTCCTCCCAGATCTGAAATAAACATTCAGCAGTAAAACCTAGAAGAAAATGAGTCTGACAGACTCATTCTCCCCTGCGTTTCCTGCCTCCGTGTTTGCCAGGCCTCGTTCGGTGAAGCCAGGCCTTGCCCCCTGTGAATAAGGTTCACAGAGAAGGAAAGGCAAGAGGTCTAAGATGGAAAGAGAAGCGTGGCTTAGCTTCAGAATGTATTAATTAGCAAAGATTTGGGAAGGTGGTGCATTGCAATGTAAAAAATGGAGCTGTAGGTGTACTGTTACGATGAAATGAATCCTAAAGCGGGAATAAATGTGATTATGTTTTTACTGCCTAGCTTATAAGTCAGTCTCGCGAAGGAGAGAAACCACAGTCTGGCGAGTCAACACACTCTTCATCTTTCTTGTGAATAGGAAGCAAATTCAAGTCAAAATACCAAGGAGCATAATAGTTAGTTAGTTATCCTGGCTCTTCCAGGAGGGAGGATATTTCTGTATAGTGCAAGAATAGAGAAATCATACAGTTAAAACATGCAAATTACACATTGCCCTGCAGTGGTGATAAGCAGTTTGGGACTTTGGGGGGAGGGGGAGTGTACCAAAAAAGGGGAGCAAAAAAAGAATTGCTGTTTATTAGGGAGGGCTTTGGTGATGGTGTGGGACTGGGGTCACTGGAGCAGTTTTGTGCCAGATTTTTTGTCAGGAGTGAACTGGTCATGCTGCAGCGGTGGTGAATGCCCTGGCAGTTAGACAGCTGTGATGTTGCACTGTCAGCTAGAGGAGCGCAGGAGATTTGGCTCCGGTGGGATGTTAACCTGCTGCCTGGGTGCGCTGGCAGCTGCAGAGGTTATCGGTGTTTCCAGCACAGCCTCGGGAGCCTGGCTGCTTGGTGCACACCCAAGAGGCCGAGTGTGGCGTGGAGGTGTGAGCACAGAAGGACATGGGGCAGGATTTCTGTGCTTGTCTTCTCAGCTCTGACGCTGGCCCATGTGGCCCATGCTGTGAGCGGCACTGGGGCTCAGTCTCTTGGTTTCCCCACAGAGGACCAATCATCGCTTCCTAGGCAGGGTGAAATTAGCTTCCATGCTGTGATTTTGCAATGAAATCCACGGACCCCTGCAGGGCTCCCTTTGGGATTTACTCTGGGCTCAAGGGTCGCAGCTTACCAATATGATTGCTGGCTTGGGATTTTATTGATGATGGGCAAAGTTTTTGTGGTGTGCTGGTCTTTCACATCATAGCAGCCCTCTGGCAGGGTTGTGGGGTTGGGGTGGCAGCCTCCATCCTGCAGACACTCTGCATCCTTTTAGAGAATGAGTCTGAAAGTAACCATGGACTGTCTGTCCTCCTGTCCTGTTCCTGCAAAAGCTTGGAATTGCGCCTCCTTGCACATTCTCCGTCTGTTCATTCATGCTCACCTTCGTATCTCCTTCTCCCTGGGTTTTGGCAGGTCCGTCACCTCTCAGTTCAGCTGCTTCTTGTCTAGCCTGCTTCGTCACTGCTTCTGCTCTCCTGCTCCAGCCTGGGGTCCCACATTCTTGCTTTTCTCAAACGTCGTCATTACAATCATCACCCTTCCTTTCACTATGCCTTTGAAGCTTGTACATGTTTCAGTGAGGTTCTGCTCTGCATGTACAGGTTGTGTATTAATTGGCTCGCTTCCTTTCCTTAATTTCATCAAGCACTGGGCTTTTTGCCTTGTTTTTATTTCCCCTGCATTCACGCAAAGAAAAATTGTCATGTCTCATCTCATCATTTGTGTTTTGACTATTGCCACCACAGTGGTCTTTGCAAATCCCATCTTGTTACCATATCTTGAATTCATGTAGATTGGGCCTACCATTGAAATGGAAGAAGGGAGAATACATGGAAACAGTGAAATAATAGTGGTCAGCTTCAGAGCAGTGGCTTCAGCAAGGAGCATGACCTGTGTGACCATCATCTTGACTGACGTGATGTTAGGACATCACTGCAAATGGGTATTGTAGTCAGGAGTCTGAGGGAAGGTGATGTTGTAGTTCTGTGGATGCCCATTTATGCGAGAGAGCGTGGAAGAAAACATTTCTCATCTTCGATTACCAGCTTGCTAAGGATGGCATCGTCCTCTTGGTTTGCTGTATATAAAGTGCTGCGTAATGAAGCCCTAGTTGTTAGCCACTGAGAGAATAGTATTAAGTCATCAGCATCATTGTAATAGGTAAGATAAATTATGAAGGAAGATGGCTTAATTGTTTTTTTTTTTCTCCAAACATCCTTGTTGAGAAATCACAGTGTTAAAAAGGTACTTACTTTTGTTACTGCTAATGTGCAACCTCCTTGTACACTCATTGAAGTTAGTAGGAAAAACCCCAGTGGGTGTGTTTTTTTTTTTTTTTTTTTAAGAGTCAAGTCTCTGTGATGGGTAATTTCAAAATCAAACTTATTTTTTGTCATTACAAGTGTTCATTTTTGCGTGTCAGTCATCATAGATAGTAAAAAGGAGGCTTGAAAGGTACTTAAACTTTGTGCTGTTACAAACCCAACCATCACTTGGACTAGATTCTGAAGACATATACGTGTATGAATTTTCAGAAAAAAACCAGCAACATATATACAGCCTTCCTTAAATATTGCTTGACAAGTAATTAGAAATTACTCATTGCCTGAGTTGATCAACAGTGCGAATAAAACACAAAGCATCCACAGGAGGCAAATTTAGAGCTACTCAATTAATTTGGTTGCATGGGGTTTAAGTCACGAAGACTTTGTCAATTGGTCTCTACCTTGCTCGATTAGTCTCTAGGGCTGCGTCTCCATAGTTGAAATTTAGCAAAGCAAGGGAAGCTGGCAGAGCTTGCCTTCGGGCCTCCGTGGACCCCTTCAGATCATTCTGGGTGAGCTGCAGTGGCGAGGTTTCGCTCCCTGTCTCCAGGTCATTTTGTTGTTGGATTCCTGTGGGTTGGAGACAGGGTTGGTGCGTTGGGACTTTCAGCGCTGAGAGAAAAGTTTTCTAAAATGCTGAAAAACAAAGAAAAAAATCTTTAGAAAAATTTCCCATTTTTGTTAGCATTTAAAACACTTGCAACGCTGCATCATTCAAATGAGAATTTAAATATGTGGTTTAGAAACGAGTGTAGATGTTAGCCACATTACACTGTATCGTACTCATTGGTGGAAACTGTAGTAGTGACATAGTTCAGATGTAATGGGCTGTTGTACGTATAATGCTGACACTGGAGGTAGTGGTGGAACGATGCAATATTTTCTGGCAATTCGGGGCTGTGCAAGACAGCCCCAGAATCAAGACTTGCAGCAGGAGGTCAAGTGGAAACGAAAGGGGGAGAAAACAAAAGGAAATTGATGCTCCAGGGGTCTGCTGTGGTTTTGTTTCGGTTTTTCTTTTCCTGAAATGTGTGTTTGTAGCACAATTGCACAGATGATACTCCTGGAAGAGTACAAATTGCTTGTGTTTATTGCTTATAGCTGCTTTACAGCACTCCTTGAGTGACAGGAACACCTATGCAATCTGGTGTGATGAATGAGCCAGGAGCAGTGCGGTGCTCTGACGTTCTGGGGCAGAGTGCCTGCTGTAGCTTTGAATTCGGAAGCAATTATCATCTGATTAATTTTATTTATTTATTTAAATGACTGGAAAACTGCTGTGTTCTATCATTAGACTTGCTCCCACTCAAAAATTAAGCTAGAGCAGTTACTAGACAAAATCTAGCAACCTGCAAATTTGACACGTACCATTTGTTTTGAATTGGTGTCGTATTCTTATTCCTTTGCTGGTAGCCAGAGTCCCGGGAGATGGTGCTTATCAGGAGCATTATTTTAGATGTCAAGATCTTGCAGGAGAATGAAGTTTGGAGTTTGTTTTAAAAGAGCGATAGTAAAAAACCAGGGAGACCAAACAGAAAGGCTTTGTGTGTGGCTTTCTTGTTTCGTTTTATAGTTGTCATACTACTTTAATCTGATCTTTGCCATTGCAATAATTCATTAGCTGGTTTCCTTTGGTAGTTTCCTAAATCCATAAGCTGTAGAGCTCCATGGCACTATTTGGTTTCAGAAAGCTTTGTTGCCTGGCTGCAGATTTCTTAACTTACTCCACTAAATCTCCTGGCCCAGTAATGAGTATTTTCTACAGAAATATTTTTGCCATATGACCTAGAGGACATGTTTTTAATAGAATTTGAGAGTTACGACAGTCATGTTCCATATTTTGCATTTCCATACAAACATCAAATGTAACCACATGGCTGCTTGGAAATTGGTTTGAAAATAAATAAGGCAAAAACTGACAAAGGTTTTCTTAAACAAATACAAGAGATGTTTGTATGAAACATTATGGTAAAATGCTTTCATGGTGAAGAGTTTTTAAGTGGTTTGACTTTGCAAGGGCTTATGACTCTGAGGAAAAATGTCTTCTCTGTGATTTTATTTGATTTGGTTCATGGGCACCTCAAGGAACTGTAATTGTGTCAGTGACCTGCTCCAGCTGAAAAGACTCTAGTGCAGTAAGATTGATTAACTGCTGGTTTTCTGTTATTCTCTTGCTGGAGTCTTAAATATTTTATGGCAACACAGACAAGTTTGTGTGACAAATGTATGTTAAAATATTTCTGACATTGAATGCCAGAGCAAAAGTCATAAATAACTGTCCTTTTCATTTTCTTTAAATTACAGATGTATGAGTCCCTGTCATAATTACATGTGCCAGTAGGAGATTTAAATGCATTACACTTTATGCACTTGACTTATGAAACAAACATTAGTCTTTGAGGAGGTGGGCCAAACCTGACATTTCCTCATGTAGTACAGATATGGTTCGATTTATGCAGTCCTCCCTTCCTTCCAAATGCTTATTGATTACATAAATAAGTAGGTAATTTTTCTCTTTCAGAACTTTGCAGAAAACACTATGAATGAGCTCCTTGGCTGGTATGGTTATGATAAGGTTGAATTGAAAGATGGAGAAGATATTGAATTCAGGAACTACTCGGCAGACGGGGAAAGCCGCCAGCACATTTCTGTTCTCAAAGGTAATGAGACTTCATGTTTCTGTGTTCATGCAAAGAAAGATTAATATCTCAACCTGTCTGAATTGGCGTGGATTGGGAAGTGTGTTCTGCTGCTTGCTTCGTGGCTGGTTTACATAAAAATATCGGAGAGTGCCTTCTAGTATGAGGAAGCCAATAGGGTACGAGCAAAACCACTTAGCAAAATTGCTGTTAGTAGGCACTTACTAATATATCTTCACAAATAATATGTTTTGTGAGTCAGTTGAAAGTCATGTACCTGTGGTACCAGTAAACCACTACAACTGGAAAAGAGGGAGCGCTTTCTTAGCAATGTGGCTTCAAGGAACCCTTTTGCTTTCAAAACGAAGCCTTTTTGGCCTGTGGCTTTTAAAAATGCTGAAAGATTTCAAGCTGGAATATTCACAATGTGCGTAGGAATGAGTGTGAATGTTCACCAAAGGCTCCTCATCTGTGTTTGTACTATACTGTCTTCTGCAAGTGCTGTAGAAGTTCTCCAGGGATGGAATTTGTTTTGGCCAGTGCTGGATCTTTGTGATTCAAAATGTGAAGGGTGGGATCCAGTCTGTTCAGCCATTTGGTTGCTGCCTTCTGACTGCATATTCGCAGGGGATGGGTAGGACCTTGTCATCAGAGTGAAGAGATGAGTAGGAAGTTGCTTCATTTTGACTTATTCAACAAGAGTTCCTCAAAGGCGGGGTAAAGAGGGGAAGCTGCAGCAGCTTTTGTGCTCTTGGACTACCACTTTGCACACTGTTTGTGGCCAGCAGTGTTTGGGTTTCTTTTTCTGATGGCCAGCAGCAGCACTGTATTCAGTGAGTGTTGCAGTGAGTACTGATACCAGAGAGACCAGTTCTGCAGGAGAGATGTCTAGAAAAAAGGTGGAAAAATTAGAGGTAAGGTGAAACAACCTAATCGTGTTAAAATTGAATGTTTGCAACTTGTCAGTTCTATAGTGACATTGGTGATCAATATTTTTTTTTTCTTTGAAAATGCGATGTCATCAAGCCACCTTTGACTAAACTTGTTCTTATGTAGTAATGTGATTCATTTATTTGTTTTAATAAATGGATCCTGTATTGAATGATTTGTGGCTCCAGCCTATGCCTGATGAAATTTGTGATATACTTTTTTTTTTATAGACACATGATACAAATTGTATGCTTTATGTACCAAATAAAGATGTTGAATACCTGTGGCAGTTAGAAATTTTTGGTGCATGTAGTTTATGGGAGGGGGAAACAAGGGTGTTTCTTTTTCTGAGAGATTGGAGGAGAGGGAATAATAATTAAGTCCTGCCCCATAGCTAACTGAGGTGCGTTAGAGAAATTCCTACAAATCAGAATCCTGAGGTAATTTGGGATTAAAGAATTAGAGTGATAACTGTCATCATTTCAAGCACACTTTGCTGTGATTTCAGTATTTTGTTCCTTTATTTAAATCCTTGCCATTACTAGTACTCAGATTATTGATAGAGAATTAGGAATCCTTTTATTTTTCAGTTTATGCTTCTTGCATGGGTGAAGTCACAGTACACTGTGTGTGATCACCATGCAAACAGTAGAAGTAAAGGACAGGAATAGGGTGTCATTGATTAAATCAGACATACTACGGATATGCATGACAAAATAATCCCACCTTTTGGAAAGAAAAAAAGTGTGAGTTTGATTTTTTTTTTTTTTTTTTAAAAAAAAAAAAGGAGCATTTCTGAAGAGTACTGGCAAGTATCCATCTTTTAAAAGGGAAAATGTCTGGGGTTTTTGTTGCACTCTTCTTGTATGAGGATAAGTAATTTAATGAACAGATTGGTGAAAGTACATAGGGGCATTTAAGAAATATATTTGCCATACTGTACAACGTGTTCTTTGTGTTTTACAGAAAATTCTTTGCCAAAACCAAAATTACCTGAGGACAGTGTTATTTCACCGTACAATATAAACCCAAGCTACCCAGGGCTTGCCACAGGAAATGGACTTTCAGACTCACCAGCAGGGTCGAAGGATCACGGGAATGTACCTATTATTGTCCCATTAATTCCACCACCTTTCATAAAGCCACCAGCAGGTAAATCCTAATGAACATTTAAAAATGGTTACTGTCATTGACATGTCCTGAGATTGCTTGATCGTGATGACTTAGTAAGAGGGCTGGTTTCAAAATGTTTGAAAACCAGTCGCAGGGAGTGTGACTTTATTTATTAGTATTCTTGAAAAACTTCTGTGAAGGCAATGACAACAGCCTTGTGCTGCTTGTGATACTCTGCATGCTGGATTATACTCTCAGCACTTCAACAGCATCTGCTTTTAGAAAAAAATGATTTCGTTCTGATGAATAAAGCCTTTAAATAAATTAATGAAAGATGATTAAATTAAAAATAAGCTCCACGAAGGAAACAGCGAAAGAGACAAAGCCATCAAATCAATATCATGTCTTTATATCAGGTTAACAAGCTCATCCAGGGAAAACTGTCTCTTGATTCTCATTGAAATCCCTGACCGTTGTCTCTTGAGGGTTTAATATGATCTTGACTCTACCCAGGAGACTGCGCTGAGATGTTTTACATTTTCATTAGATTTTTATCAGGAGTGATTTTATAACATGCCATTCCTCAGAGTTTGCATGAAAAATGATTTATTCCACACTGCATGCCGCTTACCATAATGTGTGAAAGTAACTCTTAAGGCTACACCAGGGTGATTAATTGCTGTGTTATTGTTTACTGCTGTACATGTTGTGATAATTGGTGAATTTAGATAGGAACAGGCTCGGTCCTGCTTCTGTGGAGGTCCCTAGGTGTCGTTCTGGGTGCTCTTGGGTGACCAAGGCACCAAGGAGTACAGAGTGACCTGCAATACCTACCCAAGAATAGAAGCTCTCTGCGCACAGGGAGGCAGCTTGGCTAAAGAATCCCCACCAGGCATGAGGATGCTTCTGCAGAGGCAGCTTGTAGGATCGGGTCCCAGATGTTAGATGATCACCTCTGCCCTTCGTGGCATTGACTGAAGGTAACTGTAAAATACCGATTGGTCCAAGAAAGTGTTTGCCTGTTGACAGTCATGTGGTAGACTACAGTTGCCCCTCCCAAATTAGTTTTATGCCGTTGAGTTTTATCTCTAAAGAAGTATACTAATATGCTATGAATAATTTTCAAATGTTACTCAATATGCATTCCCTGCCAAAGACTTTTCATCTATTTTATATGATATTTGCTAATTACCAAAGCTATTTGGGCCCATTCCTGCAGCCTTTACATAGCTAAAGATCTCGGGCCATATGGGCTGGATCCTCAGCTGTTGTTGATTTGGCCCTAAAGCTTTAATCAAGGGCTTGTGCCATCCCAAGCTATTTTCTCCTCCAATCTGAGTCATGAATCCAGAATGCTGAATTTGTGGTACACGAGCACAAGGCTATAACATGCATTGTGCAAACTGCCACAGTTGCTGGATTTTTATGACATCAAACAAGCAGGAGGAGATGGAACTATGAAGTAGAAAAACAAATTACTGCAACAGTAGGTAAGTGGACACAAGGGAACCTTGGCCAAGTCAACTGCCTTCTGTTCTTTGCCCGTCCACCTACCACATGTGATCCTGTGTTCAAATGTACTGCTAGGGGTAATGTGCAGAAAAGTCTTTTCGTAAGTATTTTCCAACTTTAGGTTTTTAATTCATTCATTTGCAGTGAATATAATTGTTTTACTTGCATAAGGGGTATGAATGCATAATCTCTGCATCCTCTGACTTCATCCCGCGATCAGTAATGAGCGCTGGATTACCATGACTTCTGAGCAGATGAACGTATTTATCTCACCTTTGTTTTAGAAAGCAAAGTTTGGGAGGACCGGAGGGGGAGGAGAACAACTACCTTTGTGGGATTTGCAATAAGCATCGGTAGTAATTGTTTTGTTTTATCTTAGGGCGTAGGTGCCCTAGTCATGATCACCCTAAAGAGCCTGGCAAGAAACAACTGGTGAATACAAGTAGAAAAGGGAGTACAAAGGAGCCAGGAGAGCCAGTGTGCGAGGCCGTGGTCTTGGCACTGCACTTTGACACTGTTTTGTGGGCACTACATCAAAGCAGAAAACTTCAGAGTGATACAAAGCCAGACAAGAGTAACTCTTCGAGCCCCTCACAAACACAGGGGACAACTTTGGAAACGGCACAAGGGTCCTTCTCTGAGTTGAGCAGGCAAATGAAAAAGATTCACGTAATTAATTGCTAAAGCTGAAAGTCAACATTTTCAACATGAGGGAGAGACGGGCTGTGACTGACCTGCCACAAGAACAGAAGCAGCTTACATTTGTTCAAGTTAATAAATGAAGAAAGGGGACAGGAGGGAGAGGCAGAAATTGTTCAAGAGAAAGCTTCAAGGTTAAAGTGCTGGTTGAAGAAGGAGATCTTTGCAGCATGTTTTGAGTGGGCACATATAGGACAAGGTTACATTACAGGCTAGAGAGAAAACGAGATGACTGAGATGCTGAGAACTGGGTTGAGTCTAGACTTTGTGGATTGATGGGGAAAGCTTTTCGACATTGTACAGGACAAAAAATCTACAAGATTTAAATATAGCTCTAAAGAGAGTGCCCACAGATGAAAATGATATCTAAATCATGAACCTGAAGGACAGGAAAGATGATGGTGCTATCCGCCATTATTGAGCAAATAATATGGAGTGAGCACTCAGGGAGAAATTATTAGGACTTTAATTCTTGCTGTATTGATCTTGAACTGAAGGGTCAGCACCAGTAACGAAGTGTCAGAGAGACAGGATGAGGTATTCATTTAGACAGGAGAGCAATGGTCTGGAGAGGTTAAGCAGATCCAAGAAACAGTCACAATGAAGTATTAGTTGAATAATTTTTGCAGATAAGATTCTGTACAGATAAGAGGGAGAAGAGAAAGAGCAGAGCACAGAGGGTGCTCACAGAAGCCTGAAGGGAGAAATAAATAGGAAGGGTACTCTGCAACGTGCACTGAGGTAGCAATTGTGGAGGTAGGAAAAGCACTGGGGGAAGACAGAGTCAGAATTTCCAGGGAGGCATATATGATTCTTGGTTTCAGAAACAGCTACCAGCTCGAGAAGGAGGAGGAAGGAGTACTGATCCTGAGCTATGTCTAGGAAGCAGTCATTGAAGGTTTCAGCAGATCAGCTCTTCCTTGAGCGTGCTGAAAACTTTGAACTGTCTCCTATCTGCATTCATAGTTTGTATGAACAGGCTAAAACCTTGAACAGTTAACAAAATTACCTTTTCCCCCCTCATGCTTACTTTGTAGTAAAGTGTTTGGGTTTTTGTTTTTTTTTTTTTTTCTTTTGAAAACCAAATAATTTTGAGCAGTCTGACTAAAGCTCTTCAGCTTTCTGTTTTAGTCAAGTAAAATACTGGGTGAAAATTTCCTTATACAATCCTGGAAAACATGAAGTTGCTACTGGACCAAATATAAACAGCTCCAATGAAACCACTCACTCCTTGCTGTACCCCAGAATTACACCCAAAAAGGCTGAGTTAAATGCATGGGCCCTATGTGGTGCACTGACCATCTACAGACTTGGGTTATGGCATGTCAGTGGAGGATACTAAATCCAGTCATAGGAAGCCTCCAGAAAAAGGATGCCAGTTACTCAGATCTGGAGACTGTTTGCAAGAGCGCTCCGCTGATCTGCACCACCAGGCAGATAGACCACACTCAAGCAGTGTCCAAGTCAAACGGGACTTTATCAGTCGACATCTGCCATCCAACCTGCCTCTGGAAACAAGTCAGAAGTCAGCGCAGCCTCCAGAGAGTTTGTGTAATAGTGTCCTTGTGGCTGATAACCGTCCTTCTTGCCCAGCAGGCTGGTAGCTACATTTGATGCCAGCAGCAGATTCTGAGTGATCTTCAAGGGTAGCCTGAAATACAACCTGTTGCAACAAACTGACACTATGATAAGTTCTGCTTGGTGTTAGAAGAGTCTTATTTTCTGCACAGTAATGTAAAGGAAGTATTTTTTCCATGGAAAAAATGACATAGAAATAGCAAGGAACAGAAGTGCAGTAGCCAGGAATGATCTAGAAATAAAAGTCCCACCGCAGTTGTGCAGGGTATATGGCTGTAGTATGCAGCATGCAAACATCTAACTGTTATTCTGCAGCTCTTAGTGATAGAGTGAATCTGAGAGGGCACTTAGGGTGACTCTGCCCTTTTGCTCAGACAAGTTTGGACGGCTGTTGTTACATGGGATGAACGAAGGCTAAAATCAAGACTAGTCAAGAATGCAAAAAATTCTTTCAATGCAGGCAAGAACATGCTGCCTCCTTCCCCTGGCACCAGCTGGAGGCTACGGTGTCTCAGTTTCCCCATTTTTTTTAAGAGTGCTCTTTGGTTTACTTTCTCTTGTGATCCCTGTAGCAGTGCCTTGGTAGGCGAGGTATAACTGCTGATTGGTCTAGCCTTTGAGCATGGGCGTTGGCAAAACCCTTCCCTTTCCCGCCTCCTTACGTGTACAAGTGATGCACAGAGCTGTTCTAAGCATCACAAACCAGAACCGGCTCCCGGCCATGCTGTGCTGTGAGGGCAGGTCACTGTCAAGGGACGTGGTGGAAGGGAGACAGAGAGGATGATACTATGCAGTTGACTGAGCTTTCTCCACAGGGGAAAGAAGAACAAGGGAAAAATAATGCTCCTTCCCAGGGTTTTCACAAGATAATGAGTACATTTGGGAAAGGAAAGGAGATTTAAATCCTCCAGCCCACAGATCAGTGCCTCTGCATAACATTTGGTTCAGTGATTTCCAAGTGATAATGACTGGGGTTGTACCAAAAGTTGTCAGAAAGCCATGAAAGTGAAGGAGGAATGGACTGAAGGAACTGTATCCGGTGAGGCAAAATGTCTTAAAGGAGGAGCAGAAGCATTTCCAGTGCTGACTACCTTGTAAAATAGGCTTGTGACCTAAGTTGCAAGGAAATGTCATATTCAAATACTAAAGCAACTAATTAGGTACGTTATAGAAAGGAACAAGTGATTTTCTGTGTTAGAGCTTAACAGAACTTTAGAATTAGAGTTTACGGGATTTTTTTTGTAAATAAG